GGAACTCTTCTGCTAAGCCCTTGCGCTACATGAATGAGTTGAACTGCCGAACTCAACCGTCGTAACCTCATTACAGCATCCATGTTACAAAGCAAACATATCACTCAGCTGAGGGTCCTATTACAAGGGGACACAGATTCGCATCTCATCATTGGTCACAAGCAGACAGCCACGAGAAAGCCATGTAAGACTCAGCCCAACTAAACTAGCAATGCGAGAACCAATGGCTCGGCGCCACACCAGGACTAAGAAACGGCACCGTTTGACCCCTTACCGCCCATTGAGGTCATCCTTGCTCTGTGTTAGATGCCGAGTGAGATCAACGCCGGAGGATTAAATCACTGGCCATGTTTCTCCTCTCTGATGGCAGTTTATCAGGTCACAGCCCGGATTGACGCATTCTCCCGTACAGTGTTTTCTCTTGAACTGCGTACAGGTTCGGAGGGTCTAAATTAAGTCGTGGTGCGAGACATTGACCTATTTTCAACTGATCCGTAATAGGCAGCCAATGCGATAGGCTTCTCTGGAATAAGTTAAGTATGATCCAAGAGAGTTAGCATCGAGTATAACTAGATCACGATCCTGTTCCTTGATTCACAGTAAGGTTTTCGTGTTGTTGCAATCCAGTCTCACTTACGAGAGGAACACGAAGAACAGTAAGACCGCCGAGCTTCGCGTATCGATAATTTTCGTATATAATAATGCAATGTAAGCCGTGTCCATGACATCGGATCCACCGAGATGCCTTGCCGGGAGCCTGGCAGCGTGCTTGACGTTCTTGTTCAGTATGATACCCTCAAAATAAGAATAAGCATCTGACGCTTGTCAACACTGCCTCCGGCCTGTGTCATCTCTAGCTCCGCGTTTAGTCCATCCAATACATGCATTTTGTCTGTCAGTTCACGTCGGGTCTCTCCCTCCAAGTTACCAGCAGAGTGGTGCTTCACTTGACCCAGACACTGCCACTCCCACCCTATTGAGGCTATCAGCCCTAAATGATGCAGACCTCTGACATGGATGCTTGACAAGCTTTTCGGCTACTACTAATATTACCTACCAATGAGAGGGGAAACCTTCTTGGAGGCCCTGAGCGTTGATCTGATCTAAACCCTACAGTGTGGGCTTGTCTAGCTCCTGTTGAGGCTACTCTAATTCGAAACTAAACCCAGGCAGCCGACGCCATTCAACCTCATACAAAGATCGTCTGCTCGGCGTTTCTACCGAGATCAGATCCCTTTTTGGCAAATTCCCCAGAGCTGCCAGTTTCTCTTGGCCCCCAGATTTGTCGACATATGGTAACTGATCCTTCAACATTTACACCTCGAGCAAGATGAGCTCCAAACATCCATTGAGACGATCGTGTGCATTTTGTCGGGCGAGAAAGATCAAGTGCTCAAATGAAACCATCTGCGAGGCTTGTCGTAAGCAAGGTGCCGACTGCATCTACGACTTTGAGCCTCCAAGACCAAAGGGTCGGAACTTGAGCTTCGACAGCACAAAGGCCAACAATCATCTACAGGTGCGGAGTGAACATGAACTACCTGACAGTAAGAGAAGGAGATCGTGCTCTGCCAATTCTGCCTCTTCTATGTCTCCTGGCAGAACCCACGAAGATCTTGCCCCGTTGGCAGATGGCGTTGAGAGCCTTGCTGCATCCCTTGAGCAGATGTTTCAGGACAAGTTTTCCCAGTTGATTTTTGGAGAAGTAGGAAAAAACCAGCAGCAGCAAAGCACAGAGGTCAGGTTCACTGGCCTGTTGCCCCTGATTGCCTTTGACCTTGTCGCTTCTGTTGGCCAGAGATATAGCGACTTGGGGTCTCCTCAGTCCAATGAAAGCAACCAATTGATCCGGTCTGGATTATCCAACGATACTTCTACCAACATGTTCGACAATACTTCAGCATATTGTAGCCCTTTGTCTACCTTTAGCCATCGACAGAGAAACCAGCTTATCGACGTCTGGTTCTCCGCACATCCCCTAACATTTCTCATCTCCAAGACTCTGCTGCTTCGAGAAATCCGAGAAGATACCTGTGATGAGATCCTCATGGCTGTGATGCTAGCTGATGCTAGTTTCGTCGTCGGAGAGGAATCGACAGTTGCTCGTGGACATGAACTCCTGCAGTGGGCCAAGACTCAGCTGCAGATGCGGCCCTGCTATCACCCTTCCGAGGACAACGACGCTGTATACTCTGGTGTCCCTACGAGAGTTTATAAAGGGGTTACCACAGCACAGACTTTGGTCTTGCTGGTCTGGAACGCCCTATCTTTCCACGAATTCCGCCGAGCGATCTGTTATATCGAAGTCGCAAGCAAGTTGGTTACCGAGATCAAGGATTGTATGTCGAAGGATGCCTCCCAGCCGAACTCCAGCCGCATAAATGGTGTTGACGTCCTTGATGTCGAGAAAGAAGTTGTCTCCAATCTTTGGTGGACAACATATTCTCTTTACATCTGGACCTCCATCCAAGCAGGAGTGTTGCCCAAAACCACACCGTCAACCTTTGACCTCGAATCTCTGCCCGCGACCTCAGCCTCATCGGTTACCATTCAGCTTGACCTCGTCTCTGAGAACTTCAACACTTTGCAAAAGCAAAAGGGTAACATTCGAGAAATGAGGCCTCTTGCGCAGGTTGTCAGCACTGTTGCATACCTGTTCTCACAAATCTCGGATCAAACTGCATCAAAACATGGCGTTGGTATCTGTAAAGAAGCTATCCGCTCTTTTGGTACTAATACAAACGATCCGAAAGCAAAAGGTCAAGATGATGACAGATTGTGGCAACTTCTTGTCGCCTTCCACCATACCATGATCATTCAGTTCCTCTTCCCCAAGAATGGCTCATTCTACGACCAAGTGGTGGTTCCAGCTGAGACTGTTCATCAATTTTGCGCTTCTGTAGAACAAATCATACAGTCCCTTTCGCCAACTACCAGGCAAATCAATCAAAACTCAGCCTCAACATTCCAGCAACCCCTCTCTAAAGCTCTGTGTACTCTCATGGATACTTGTTCCCGAGCCTTCAACTTGCTTCGGGATAACCTAGGGCTTAGCCTGGATCATAGCTACTTCCGTCCAGAGTGGGATAACCGTCTCTGTTCGTTGGCAAGCTCCTTGTATACAATCAGCAAAGACGAGCGATTCTACCAAGGCACAACCTTGCGCAGTGTGCGGAAGCAGATCAAGTCATGTGCTCGTGCTTTTGGCAGTAATAGCAATACCAACGCGCTTGGGTTGTTGGAACCGAGCATGAACTCTATGCGATCTATGTCGCACTCTCCTCGGAGCCAAGCCAGGCCTCAGAATGGCTTCATCGCGAGTAATGAACCCTTGACAGATATGCCATCGCCCTTTCAGGCTGAAGCTTCTTCGGGGGTATCTTCATCTATGCCATCCTCGTCAGGCTCATCTACTAGTGTGTCAACTCACTCGTTCACCCAGTTTGAGGAGATGAACAAATGGCCAATCAACGAGACTTTTCCCCATGGTATAATGTCTACCAGTATGAACTCTCCCCCAATTGTTCAACAAGGGATGTGGTACTCACAGGCACCCCCTATGGTGAACTTCGAGGCCGCGGGTCCTGTCTCTCTCCAGCATAGCCAGTGGGCTTGGCCACCCACAAGTGGCGAAGAGGCACCATACATGTCTTTCCAAACACTAGATATGGATGAGACCTGAATACGAGTTTTAGGATATCAGTTTCGATATTGGATGAATGTAGTTATGATGATAACGAACAAAACAGAATGAAGCGTGTTATTTGGTTATTGGCGGACTCTAAAATTGGAACTCGCCGCTGGCGGCATCGATGTTTGCTATTGAGCATTGCGTGCGCTGGGTCAGTGTTTTATTATATATTTTAATTAAGTGTCGGGGGGAATTCGAAACTTTGATAAGGTCGCCAGAAGAGCATGTGTGTCATATCTATAGTTCTGTCTACCTTTCGTAATTGATCAATAGTTATCGTCACTAGAGTTCATCCTTATACTTTCGTGACTGTACTAGACAAGAAGTGAAAAACGTATTCCTTATCATACTTACAGATGCTCCATCAACAGATACTTGTTGTTAAAAGAGCTAACATATTAATGAGAATTGAGGTTCCAGCATGAAGAATCTGGTTTAAGTTGATATAGAAGGACAGCCCAAAGACTCAAGATAAATATTTAGGTCAATACTGAAAATACTTTCATGGTATGTCTTCTCCTTATATGATAAAATGTCGTCTTATCGACCTTTCGGCTTCGGATCCGATCGCCCGGGACTCTCGGACCGGAAGACTGGGAATCCACCGAATACTTGCGCAAAAGGGTTATAAGAAATCAACTCAAAAAACGGTGATTGTGAGAGGCTGATAAGATCAAATCCACCCTGAATCAAGCTAGGAAGTAAGGCCTGTATGACAGATAGTATTCCAGCACCATTCTTTAGCCTTATACTTTCCCCTCAGATAAGAACTCCGAGTTTCAGGGTAGCCTCTTTTGGCATGGATCTTTACTCGAGTGCCTATTTACAACTTGATCTGCTTTTCCTCTGGATATCTTTGTGTTAGATACCAGGCCTTCTTCCTGATGCTTTGCTTCCGATTCAAAATTTTGGTGCAACCTCAACCCATCATCTCAAAGAGGGGAAACATGAATGATGTGCTGGTGATGGAAGCCATTACACAGAATCGAGTAGTAGTTGAGAAGTCGATAGAGACCGCTTAGACATAGGTAGCTTGGAAATTCTTGTCTATATAACGCGGCGTCCCCTCTCCTATTCCAAAGCCGGACATTTTATTATTGTCGAGCGACGTTCTTGCTCAAGCTATTACACGTGGTTGTATTTCTCCTTCCACGCCATTATCGCTGACGTCAGCTGACGAGGGTAGGTAGCTTGATGCCAAATTGACTAGCTCTTGCAATTAACCACAAGGAAGCTCAACAACGACAAACCTCAGCTCACTTTTTGCGCCCTGAAACTTCAGTATTCTAAGCGCCCAAGTCCATCAGCCATGAGATTGCTATATGCTCTCCCCGCAACTTGCGCGCTCATCTACCGCGCCAAGAGCAGGAATTCTTTAACGCCCGCTGGCATCTTCGCTGCGACTCTGACAGCTGCCGCACACGCCTACCACCCATGGAATCTTCCATTTGCACTCCTATGCGTATTTTTCCTGGCCGGAACACGCGTAACACACGTAAGTATTTGCGCCCGCTACAAGGGCAAGGGAGATGTCTGACAACGCCCCAGATCAAAGAGGGCATCAAGGCCAACTATACGCTTCGTTCAAAGGGTACATCTGGAGGAGAAGGGCCTAGAACACATGTTCAAGGTAAGCACTTGAAGCCATTCATGAATCAATTGACTGATCTGTCAAGTCCTCGCCAACAGTTTGATGGCCTCTGTCCTCTCCGTCCTCCACGCAAACCAACTACGAAAACGAGAAGCAGCACTCGCCGATCATAATACTCCGGATCCCACGGGATCACTATGCTTTTCATGGGGCGGTGACCTCCTGGTCGTTGGAATCATTGCCAATTATGCGGCCGTCGCGGCCGATACCTTCAGCTCCGAGCTTGGTATCCTGTCTTCAGGACAACCTCGACTGATCACATCACCAACACTCCGAAAGGTGCCTCGCGGAACAAACGGTGGTGTCACCTTGCTAGGTTTAGGTGCAGGTTTGCTGGGGTCAATGATTATTGTCACCGCATCCATGATATTCCTACCGTCCTGTAGTGAGGAGTCATCTCAGACGCCCGCAGGCGGTGCCCCATGGACGATGCTGGAGCGACGCAAGTTCATGGGGTTCATGGTGATCTGGGGTGCTCTTGGCAGTGTCTTGGATAGTTTCTTGGGTGGCCTATTCCAACGGTCAGTCAGGGACGTACGGTCTGGTAAGATTGTCGAGGGAGAAGGAGGCAATCGCGTCCTAGTAGCCGAATCCGGCACGGACGCGGCCGCTCATTCGAATGTCAAGACCGAGATCATGCAGAGCGAAGCAAAAGAGAAGCTTGGTGGTTCCGCTATTGTGGACGATGACGATGCTCATGCTGGTGTCTACGATCATAAAGACAAGCACCGCAAGTCAAGTTTTGGTGATCAGCGACCGTCGCGGGCTATCGAAAACGGGTGGGATCTTCTGGACAACAATGATGTCAATTTCCTCATGGCAGTTACGATGAGCGTTGGCGGCATGGCAGTAGCGAGCTGGTACTGGGACGTGCCCATACAGAGCGTCATGGGTGTGTAGAAACGCAGTTAGCGACGTCATTTTGAGGGTCAAGGCAATTCTTGACCTTGGCCACTTCCTGCCAAGACCAATGAGAATAATGTGATGTAAAGAGCAACTCCCTTTCCCTTCTGGCGCCCTTTGATCCATCACGAGATTTAAACCACCATTACCCGTTGCCACTGGGTGGTGTTGAACTGCGTCAAGACGCACGCAAATGCTGAGTGCTCCAGCTTGGCACGGTCAACCCCCGGTGAAAGTCCGTCACCCCCCGTCAATCACCCCGCCGGGTCTCGGCGTGAATCGCAGCATCTCGGAACGCCAAACCCGGAGTTGACTCCGTGGTGGGTAAACTTTTGAGTCCAATGCGAAATCGGCAGATTTTGATTTCAAAAGCCGGCGCGGTATCTCAACAATTAGACTTAATCTCATTCGCGCAACGAGTTATCTGGACGTGATTCCATCACCCAATTCTCCAGATCTCGGAGGACGGGAGGGTGGGAGCGAAAAAAGCCAAACGATTTACATCCCCCTTCTGGCGATCCAATAGACATGAGGCCTTTAGTGATCGAGATTAATTACTCTTTCTCTTCCAGAGATAGGAAGATATCGACAGAAACCTGGGGTAAGCCCAGAATCGGATCAGTTCCTGTTGCTCATTTAAATGTGTAATAGTCTCAAGCTTGAGTCTGATTGGTCTGGTAATTTTCTAATGAGTCAAAATGGGGATTGCGGGGGGCGGCAGATCTCCATCTCAGCAGTGTGGGAGCCTGGGAGGACATTGAGCAGGAGCATTGCCTCTTTGAGTGACTATTCTGCTATTCTGAGGCAGTAGAAACCTTTGATGAGTTTTGAAAAAGGCAGTACCATTTTAGAAGAGTATGATAAAGTTAGGATGACTCTAGTCTAAGAAAGCAGGCGCAACTGTGGTATTGGGGTTTAGTCATAGTTGCCAAAGTTTCGAGCACTTGCACCTGCGCTGAGATAATATTCTTCCACTCACAGAGTAGGAACGATCTGCATAACTCTGGTGAACCTCACACGAGTCTCTACTGAGAAGAAAATTTCTCCTGGACATCTTCAGACGCGCCCTCTAATCGCTTTGGTGTTATTCTTCCTCTTGGCCTGCCTTATCATTACCATATATTTACTTGAGAGCATGTCAATTAAGTTGTCGGAATATGCATTACCCCTGGCGTCGTCAGGGCCTCTACCAGTATCTTTTCATGGTCTCGTGCGTGTGAGCCCACTGACAAGAACCGTTCGTTGCAGCCAGTCGGATTCAGCTCGGGAATAATTGAACCCTGACACCGGCAGAATGGAGTCCTCCAGTTCTAGCTCAATTATGATTTATCCAAGGAGAAATGGAAGAGGTGAGTAAAATCGACTGACACGACCGGACCGACGCTAACAGTTGACGGCAAAACCCCAGCAATTCAAACATTCAACTCATCGCGTATCCCGAAGCCGGAGACTACAGCCTCTCGATCCAGGACAGGGCAGACCTGGAGAAGTGCCTCAAAGTCTGGAGTGTTCCGAAACCGACATTGCAATTTCGTACAGTCTGGGGAAATGGAAGAAGACCTGAAGATCCGAATTGATGAGCGATTTACACTTCGGTAAGTGATGACATTAGCCAACCAGAGACGAAGATATCTGAAACGGCTTTGAAGCCGTCGGTCGAAACCCAACGTGAGATAACAGGCATTATGCAGAGCATGCCTTGAGCCAATCATGACTCAATGATAAGAACCTGCAAGTTGCTGTCCATCTCGGGTGTGTGGCTTGGGTTCGTTGGGTACGGTATTCTTTTTTGGGGTGGCGTTGGTGACAAGGCTGGGTGTGCTTGGAGAGACACCGACTCGTCGCCGGGCAGCGCTGAGAACGAACCCCAAAAAAGAATCAGTGATTGAAAGCACTACACTCCGGCCGAGGTGTTGCTGCCCATGGTTGGATAACTTAAACAAGAAACAGGGCGTTCTTACCAAAACGAGTATGGTTCGCCTGGGGCTCAGGAAACGATTTGGTAACAGATCAGGGACAAACCGGAACCACCGAGGCTGTCGGGAATTCTGGAGAGTCACAAGCACCAGGCCTTAAGCGGTTCTCAAAATAGCTGGGCTTGGCTCCTGAGCATGGAGTATTTTCGGGACATCCATGGCTCACATCAGAAGGGCTCAGGGCGCAGTCTGGTCCTGGAACGGCTTCTGACGCCTGTGTGCACCTTTGTTGCTTGTGTCCTACAGCATGTGCGAATGTGGGCCAGACGTACCTGGTTACAAGGATTGCACTTGTCCCACCCAACCCCAGAATCTTTGCCCACGAAAGCCGCGGGCACCATCAGATAGCCTCTACTTGAGAGTGGGAGGGACATTTGGGGGTTCAATTTCCTGGGGAAGAAGACGGAGGTGCGACGGGATGCCTTCTTATCTATGGTTTACGGATAAAATACTGACCTACTCAGGGACGATTGCATAAAGCTTTTGAATGCAGGATATACAATTGGTCTGAATTGCCAAAGCTGGGAACACATGGTTTTCACCTTATCTCACCCCCACTATTCCTTATCCGGGCATGCGTACCACATACGCACAACCACACGCGCAATTAACTCAACTTTTAACGTGTTAATGGGCCATTGTTGAGATAAGACTTTGGGTCAATGAGTTTGCTCGTATACTGGACCGCATTTCCTCAATGGAGTCGAGGCTCCGTAAGCGGAGCAAAGCGGTTTATATCCGCCTATTTTCAGATAACTAATTGTCAAAGAACAGATTAAGCCGGCACTGAGCCGAATCGTCATCTCAATCAGCGACCAAACCTCGCCGGCCCGGTGATGATTAGATACGGAGGCTGATGAAAAGCACCGCCTTATGCCGCTGGGGATACCCGCTGAGCGGCTGTGTCAAAAAAGTATGAGTACCTTGCACATACACCGTCTCCGCCGAAGCCGCCCGTTATGTCATACTGTTTTCAGCACTATTACGAGGCGGGAGTACCCTGAAAGTTTCGCTACCACAGCGATACTACCCACTGAAAGAGGCAATGTTGCAATTCAGCCGGCAGCCGGAGAAGCACTCACGAGCTGAAGACTGGTGGTGCAATTATGGAAAATGCGTTCCACTTGTTGAGGTTATTGGCTTCTTCTTGAGTTGCTCCTGAGTACGCAGAGTCCAGTTGCGGTAGGCATGTAGTCTTTCTATAGCATGCACTCGCAACGAAAAGCAGATGATTTATGTCGAAAACAAGTATCTTTCCTGTGCGTGGTGTCTTTTTAAACTATAAACCCACGCCCCCCTCCATAAAGAGGTCGTCTCGACGGCCAATCGAGGATTACATCAAACCCCACTCTGAAAGCCGGTAACATTCACGCCCCTGCATCCGGCCACAGGGAATCCTTATCTTTTGGCGGGCGAGAGCGTCAACCTTTCTTTAGAGGACGGCTCGAATCCGTAAACATAAAACCCTCGACGCCCCGACCTCCCCAGAATTCTTTTTCGATCATCCTACACATATTCATTTGATTGCTTGATACATTTGTATCTCGTTTCGTATTTCCTCACTCGCAATCCGCCTTATTCCCCGTATCACAACCACATTCACAATGGTTCGTCATTATCAACAAGATTCGACGTTATGAAGTCAGCTAACAATATGTACAGGCTACTCCTATCACCTCACGGACGGAGACTCTCCAGAAGTATCTCAAGCTTGATCAGAAGGGTATGATCATGGCTGAGTACGTCTGGGTTGATGCCGATGGTGGCACTCGTTCCAAGTCTCGCGTAAGTCCATACCGATTCTATCTCCCGGCCCCACTCTTGCTCTTCCGATCCGAAACGACGAGGCCGGCCGATCGCCGACCTCCATCAAGTGGCATTGTTTTGAGCCTCGGAAGCGGTGTCGCGCCTGCCTCGTGGAACGATCCTTAAACTTGCGATTAAGCTTGTTTTCCACGATGCGGGGATGCGTGGCCCGATCTCTTGGGCCCACGCTTTCGATACCAGATGGAAGGAGCAAGGGAACAGGAGCGACGTAAATTTTGAACATCAACTTACAAAGTCACAGACATTGCCCGAGAAGGAATATAAGCCCGAGGATCTTCCCGTTTGGAACTTCGATGGTTCTTCCACTAACCAGGCCCCTGGTGACAATTCCGATGTCTACCTCCGTCCCTGCGCCGTCTACCCTGATCCCTTCCGCGGCTCTCCCAACATCATTGTTCTTGCTGAGTGCTGGAACGCCGATGGCACTCCCAACAAATACAACTTCCGTCACGATTGCGTGAAGGTCATGGACACCTACGCCGACGACGAGCCTTGGTTTGGCCTCGAGCAGGAGTATACCCTTCTCGGCTCTGACAACCGACCCTATGGCTGGCCCGCCGGTGGTTTCCCTGCTCCGTAAGTCAATCCCTACATTCTTTTCGCATTGACTAACGATTTCATAGCCAAGGCGAGTACTACTGTGGTGTGGGCACTGGAAAGGTTGTCCAGCGCGATATCGTCGAGGCCCATTACAAAGCCTGTTTGTGTAAGTCACAGCATCAGAAGCTGGGTATCAGACTGTAAAGTTTTGGTGCTATAGCTATCATTTGATCAATGCTTCTCGGTCATATCTAACTCGATTCCAGATGCCGGCATCCAGATATCTGGAACGAACGCCGAGGTCATGCCTGCTCAATGGGAATATCAGGTCGGCCCCTGCACTGGCATTGAAAGTAAGTTTGATGGAGGCCCCACTTAAACTTCGGTATTCCCCACAAATCGCAAGATTCCCGCTAACCACCAAATCTCATCAGTGGGCGACCAGCTTTGGGTTTCACGATTTTTCTTGCACCGCGTCGCTGAGGAATTCGGCGCAAAGGTTTCATTACATCCTAAGCCAATCCAAGGTGATTGGAATGGGGCTGTGGGTATTTCCTTCCCATTTTTTGTTACTCAATGCTAATATCTTTACAGGGTTTGCACTCCAACTTCTCCACGAAGGCTATGCGCGAGGAGGGTGGTATGAAGGTCATCGAAGAGGCTCTGAAGAAGCTCGAGCCCCACCATGTTGAGTGTATTGCTGAGTACGGAGAGGACAACGAACTGCGGTTGACCGGCCGTCACGAGACGGGATCTATCGACAGCTTCTCTTGGGGCGTAGCCAACCGTGGCACAAGTATTCGCGTACCCCGCGAAACTGCGGCCAAGGGCTATGGCTACTTCGAAGATCGTCGCCCTGCTTCTAACGCTGACCCCTACCGTGTTACCAAGGTTCTTCTTCAATTTTCCATGGCTTAGAGCGAGTTTTAGAAGTTTAGCATTCATTCTGATGAAATGGTTCACGGCGCGACGGTTTGGGAAACTATTGATTACATAGATAGCATGAAAGCTTGTCCTGAAGGACAGTAATGACAACCAATCAGTAAAATATTTCTTCAATTCTACCAATACGATTACTGCGAAACAAACAATGTGGCAGATATGTCGTTCAAATTAAGCTTATTTTAAGAACGTGGAGACAAGTCACGTGATATCCTCAGTTTGTTAATCGCCCGCACCTGATGGATATCCGACATCTCTAACTGCTGGAAGGTGCTTCCCATGAACATATGTATTCGGTAGTCCAGCGGTACATCACCAGTGTTGCAGTAGCTCGACTTGGCGCCAGCTACCTAGTTATTGCTTATTTGCCGTTGTTGCGTTGGAGACGCCGGCTGACTGTGGTGGTTATCCTTTGGCTAATTTAGTGAGCAATCGTTTGAGACTTTGTTTCCTTCAACAATATTATGTGGTGGTCTGGGGTATCACATCAACAATACAATGATCTTTCTGAACCCTCTCTTAGTGGCAAGTGGGACCACGCCAAACCCCAATTTACTGAGCAGGAAGGGACACTTGATGTGGATGGACTGGTAAGGAAGGAATAAAAAACAAGAATCATCAAAGATAAACAGCAGCAACGGTGAATGACTCTTAAAATTAGCCACAATTTCAATGATAAGTTGAGCCTGTTGCCATCTTGACCAGCGCACTCAAATCTTTTTCCGACAATTATTTATCCCACGTTTCGTGCAAAGAACAAAACATGATACCGAGAAGAAAACAAAAGGGCAAGAAGGACCAGGCGTCAAGAGCTCGGGTCAACTTGCCAATTCTGCCTCAAAACGTCATCAACAACAACGTACCTTCTCTCGATCATAGCCATGGAATAATTTTAACCCAAAATTTTCATCATATCCAGTTTGACCCCCATTATCCTAGTCAATCATGCAATTTCGATATGTTAGCTGCAAAATCTCACAGATTATCCCCTGAGGACCATTAGTGGCTATCGAAAAACCACACGCTGCCACGAAAATTCCAGATCGAGCGGTTACCTGAAGAGTTGGCGTGACGAATAATAGCAAGCAAGTTTAATACTCGGCATAGCCTCCATAGTGATTCATTTCTGACCATACAACTAGACCACGATAGAATTATTAATGGTAACTACGGACAAGCACGAGCGGCCAGTTGAAACCCTGGTTGTTGCCACCTTTAGAACCATCAATTAATATAAGCGACAGACACGTTGACCTACTGAATTTATCACAGTCATCACAGATCATGTTGAGGGTGAGGGACAATACCCTTCAGAAATGTGAGTGCTGCACACCACAAAACCTAGGATCTGACTTAGCCGTTACCACCACCAGACCTGCATGTGCCCAAGTCAAGGCTCCTCTTCCATTTTCCAACATCATCTTAGACGACTGAGTATAGCCGCGTTGCTTCCTCCAACTACTCAGCCTACTCCGAACCGTTGAAATGTATGCTGGACGGGCATGGGGGCGAGCGGTGGGACCTCCAAGCCCCAAAGACCGTGTAAATCAGGCTCAACCAGTACATATGTTTACAGATGCAACTACTATTACTATACTGCAGCTTGCTCCGGCTACGACGAGCTCGTCTGACGACCTCCCCTTCCTTGGACGTGGCTTCGACATTACAACCAAACCCGGAGGACACCTTCATATACCAAGGTCGGCACTATGAACACGGGACCTCGCCGACTCTGAGGTATGTTTTGAAATGCCGCTATTTTGACCAATAAATAAGATTCTCGCTATCGGACTGAAGAGACACACCAAAATGCTGATATTCGAGCAGATCAGAAACCAAAACAGTCTCGATCAGAAACACACCATGCCACCATACGAGCTACAGTCGACGCCCATGATATCTGTCCTATGATACGAGCATCATTGGCGACAAGGCTAGGTCATCTGCAGTTTTCTCAATTTAGTACTCGTATCAACGACACGAGTAGTGTCTTTATACGTCACAAAGGTGTGAAATATAAGCGAGGCCAGTTGCGTCACTTAGGTCAAGGCTAAAGTGGCAGCTAATATGACATGGAAGTTGCAGGCACGACGTCCAGCAACTGGATCACAACAAATCACATCTCAGGATGATCATTCCCATGGATTGCACATCAATATACGCATATTAACGAGCGCGTCCGTCGTCGTGACAAGCTGTCATCATGGTAGAAGGCATAGGGAAGAGCACAAGGATCCCATCCTGCCGAATCTATCGCGACCTTGGTTGGCTCTATACCCCGGCTCGACTAGTAAGGTTCGCTCTTTATCTTTCTGCCTATTCGTTTGTCATTCTGACATATGCGAGTCTTAGGAGATGCTCTGCGTTACGTCATGGCAGATCAATCATCATCATGTCGCAGGAAAAGAAAGTGGAGGAGAAACCGGCATACCTCGTCTGATCGTCGAATCAAGGATCCCTCTGCGCAAAAACCGGTGCCGCAAATTGATAGGACACATGACTAGGTAGTACACACAAAAAAGCGACACTCCGACGCTCCGCATAGGGACGAATGGTGACACTTGTCCAGATGAAGCAAGAGAGCGCCCAATGGCACCAGAAAGTCTCAGCCATTGGCAAGGGTTGGCGCCTCAAGCGCTCGATTATTCAACATTAACGGCGACAACGCATATCAGATTCGACGGCGTTGAATAGCAGCGAAAGATGAGGTCTAGACGCCAGGCAGTGACCGTAATTCGCAAACGTGACGGCTTTGTTGATACGTCAGTTGGCAGAAAGAGGTAAGGCAATTGTCATCACTTATCGCATAGGTCAAGTGCAATATCACCGTCACCATCCCCGATAACGTCCTGTTGAACGTCGATGTTAATAACCCGGGGTGGAAGGTCGGCCTAACCCCTAGGTACAGGAACTCGCTCTGGCTTATGCGAGTCATCGCGATGTGGGAGTATAGGACTATAAACAGGGAACCGGCAAGACCTACACTTTTATATTACCCTCCGGATTTCTCTTTCGTGGTGCTCGACATCGAGGTCAGCATATACACATGGAGCGGTAGCTTCCCGCCCCTGGACGACGATATGATCCCCATCTGCACCACTAACGTGGAGTGGTACGAGTCTACAGAGAAGGACGTGTGCTTCTGCATCTACAAGTTAGGGAAACACACGACGTTTGAATATCGAGCTCGGGAGGACACCTTTCGCGAGCAAGGCAAGAACTCGCTTGAGGCGTGCGGAACCGCGTACAAGATCTTGAAGAGGCTCTCGCCCGAATTCCTCAACATACTCAACGGCTTCATCCTCAACTTGAAGAGAATAGCCACACATATCGTGCGAAATCTTGGGGCTAATGTTAGAGAAGAAGCCATTGGGCAACAGCAGATCCGGGATGCACTGGAACTTACCCAGCGGGACCGTGACCATTGGGATTTCGGTGTTGAAGACGAAGATGATGAGGAATGGCCCTTAAGCGTGATGAAGTTCTCCTGCCTTGGCTAGATGATCGATCCTATTGGTAAGGTCATGAGCCAGTAGAGCACCGTCATAGACAACGTCAAGAGAGGCGCGTCGAACCTGATAGTCCCGTGGAGGCATTCGAGGGTCGAGATAGACATTTTGTCGAAGCACGTGACAAAAATGGTCAGGATATTGTCGTTTAAGACCTCAGTGTCGCAGGACACGGTGAAAGACATATTGAGCCTGATCTAATAATACAATACGACGTAAATGTCCACGATCAACAAGCGTTTACGTCTATAAGGCCTATGATGATAAATCTGAAAAATAGCTCAAAACCTGAGTGTCAACAACTTGATCCAAAGATGTCACTGTTAAGTCATGCCATCCGTTTTTGACGGTAAACCTCCATCACACCTCCCGTAATGCACATTCTCAAGTGCAAAAAATGGGAAATGACTATATGTAGTACTCACTTCTGAAAATTGAATCGTACGAATATGACTTTCTCAGCATGGTCCAGGCGTTATCTTGAACAATAAAGGGGGAATGACGGCAGCAACTATCATCAGGAAGATGAACAGAATCTATCTATGTAGACTAGAGATTCCGCAAGCTCTTCTCTGTTAGCACTCTTACTGTTGGCAAGGGGCAAGAACTATATAGGCCAAGTCAGTGTCGAAAATGACAATTGACGTCGAATAGCCACTTTAAAGAGGAAGATAACTACAAACCTTGACGCGAGGCTTGCCTGGACGAAATTTAGTAGTGTTCTACTGTTGCTAAGAAACAGGATCGGCTTTCCAATAACATCACAAACTATTTACTAGGTTCTTATCGCGGACCTAAAATGAAGAGTAAGCCTAAATTTATGAATATACAGTCCTAAACTTTAGAAGTGTATAGAAAATGTTGCGTTATCTTTAGGATAACATAGACAAGATTAGCATAAATTTAGACTACCTTAAGCAAGACTGCTAAGCTTCTCACCTGTGTTCAAGCCACGGAAACGCCCCAGTCCAACTGGTCATGAACGAAATAGAACACTTTCAATACATGTGAGCTCGATCATTCGTATAGAATGATAACGACCCAAAAGCTTACGGTTTAATACTGAGTGATATACGCCTCAGCGACCAGCAATTGGCATGCTCCTTCTATCTGAATGCTTTTTCCTAGACCTGGGCCTGGGTAATCAATACATTAAGAATGGCTTGTCTATATATGCATTCCGCAGTACTGGGTCGCTTCGGAATCACTACCTTGACCAGCACGACCAAAACCTGGAGATCCGCAGGAGTGGCGATAACAAACGGCAGCCACAAGATGACCTTGTCCGTAAGTCGGAAATGGGTCGACATCGATCCTAAACTAGGTATGTGCTAAATGTTTCCAGGGTGGTATTCCCTTTTCGCTGGTAGAATCAGCCATAATTGGTCTCCACGGAAGGCCAAGGAACATGGCTTTTCGCCTGAACTTGGTCCCAGGCCAAGCCTCCGACCACTGCTACCAACGGGGCCACCAACGCCTCTTTATGGCCCTCGAGCTCTCGTATGGAATCATTTAATCATGGTTTCAGAACTGCTCCTTACTATTCTCTAGGGAAACCGCCACGTCATCCGGGCGCCCTCGCCGATCGCCACGAGAAGCAGAGGAGGAGGAGGTAAGCTGGAATAAGTTTTGAATTGAAGCTGGATGGCATTCTAATTAATTACAGTACGAGTCCTCTACTAACTGGGAAGGAAATCCCGACTTGTTCGAGTCCACCGCCCCCGAGTCCGCCACTGCTAAGTCAAAGTCTGCGCCACTCAAAGCAGGAAACAATGTCGAGGTATTTAGAATCATCTCCTCTATGGTTCGACAATAGACTCAAGGAATCTAGACGTTGCCCAGTGAGCTTCGTGCTGCTCGGCGTGAAAAACAAAAAGCCATAGTAAGTTGGTGATTACTTTCTAACTGTCTTACCATTACTGACAAGTTAATTCTTATAGAGAACCCCGACAAACACATCTCGTGGCCGTGGTCGTAGTGGTAGCGGTGGTCTTGGCTACCTGCCGACTCCTCGATCAAACGATTCAAACGCGGGCCCCTCAGTATGTTTATATGGAATCGTTTACTGGGTACTTGTTTCATTAATAATTCTGGCCAGAGACTTCCTGATGAGCGCAGCCGGATTAGCAAGAAGTCGAGGAAAGGAGAGCGCTGCGTTTTCGGTAGTTGTAATCTAAACCCTGCTACGGTATGTCCGATATGCTTTCTGTTTTTTCCCCTCTTTACCTATATACTATTAGTGATAGTATAATCGGAGTCAAAAAGTTACTCCTTTTTAACACAAAGATAAAATTACAATGCAAAGTGTCGTGTGTCCTAGCAACTAATAATTAATATGCTCTCCCATTAAGTATTTCTTCGACCTGGTGATGCTGCCCCTGAGTGATGCTCCTCCCTCAGCATGCTCCTTCTGTTTAACAATGCCACCCTGATCAATGCCCCTTCCTTGTGGGTGCTCTTCCCTGGATTTGGGCCTGGGTCATCAAGACACCAAGAATGGCTTGTCTGTCCTGATTTCTCTTCTACAAAGACTGAACAACAACTATTTCTTATTTCTTTTTAAAAAGCCTTCTCTCAAAACAACAAACTGCCCCCCGCACTACTACAATGGCCCCAAACAAGAACAAGAACCACCAGCCCAAAATCCCCGGTACTGTGTCCAACGGAAGCATACGCTTCAACTCTCAGGCGGCAAGCCTTCCTCAGAAACGGGGTCAATCCTTGGTGATTGAACAAAGCTCAGTTACAAAGATTCCAAGGTAAGTAAGAGAAACTTGATGCACCCGGAACATATGGAGCTTCTACAGGTGTATGTTGAGTAACACTACTCCCTGGCACTTTAACTGCACCCCAAGGTTGTCCTGAAAACATCGACACAACTCGGTTTCCCTTTCCCCTATACCCCAGAGCACATAAACACAATGGAAAAAGAAATCAATAAACGGCTCGATAAGCTCGAGAGCTTTGCCATCAATACTAACGCCCTTGCCAAGAACGCTCGAGAGGAGTTCTACAAAGACACCGTCGTCCTTCGCCTTCGCGGTCTGGCACACCAAGTTACCCTCTTCAAGATCCAATCTCTGAACCAAGCCACCATCGCCCAGATCCTCACTGAGGTTCAAGCTACCAACGCTTGCATGGATGGAATGGAAACTCACATGGATGAGATGAGTAACATCATCTCTCAGCGCAAACTCGGCAATGTCCTGGCAGGTCTCAGGTGGGCACGACCTTGGCTTCAGAGAGTCCTCTACGACATCCCCTACAAAATCTTCAGGGGCATTCGGAATGTACCTCTTGGCTTCTACTATCATGCCGTTTGGAGTTAGGCCGCCCTCTGGTGGCTCGTTAAATACTAGTAGTTTGCCTAGCAAGGTCCTATGGCCTCATCTTTCGCCTTCTAGCAATTTCTAGGGTAAGAACCAAAAGAGGGTCGTCTCCGATGGCTTCTCCCAGTGAGCTCAGTCTGGAAGTAGTGGTTTGCTTCATGCGGCATCTGCAACCAGTGCGATTGTTGGCCGTAGTGCGCCAAAAGTGTCTCCCGACGCTACTGTTACTCACGCCCTTTCAAGCGAGGATGAATTTCCAAGCCTCGATATGCGAGAACTCGATGGGGTCGAATTTCAGCAGCTGAACATTCATGTTTTGGGGAAGGCTTCAGTGGTTGGCGAGGATGATGGACCGCCGTTCTGCGAAAGCGAGGTTATCTAATTACTTGGTTCTGATTTTAATGGCCTGGCTAGGGGAGGAAAGAAAACTCGGAGCCTTGCTCCTAAATGATGGAAAGATTTAGGTAACTTGATATAAGCCTAGCCTAAATTTAGTATACACTTAGGATACCTTTTGCTGAGTATATTTTATATTACGGTCTGTTGTTTATGATCAGAAATCCTTTGACACCTCCGTCTCCTCCATCTGCTCCACATCCATCTCCTTCTCTGTCTCCACTTCCATTTCGTCTCCAGCAGGTTGTCCCTGTTCCTTCTTCTTCTTCTTCTGCTCCTTCTTCTTGTCCTTCTTGTCCTTCTTCTTCTTATCAGCCAAGCTGATCCAAGAGACGCAAAGGTCAATCTTGACCTGACTCAATTTAAGCTCATCTTTGAGCTTTTTGGCCTCCTTGGTCTCCTTTTTGGCTTCCTTAGTGGCCTGGTTGGCAGCAGCTACTGCTGCTTCACAAACTGGAAGTCTACCACTGAGGTCGGCAATCTTCTCTTTCAATGGATTGACAACCTAAATAGAAAGAAAGTTAGAAAATATGGTTTCCTAGTAGCACAAATGGTTGAAGACCATTTTGATTCCAGCTTCTTACTAATCAGGAAAGTTAAAGAGCTTACATATTCAACGACCACGTGGGCAAGGGAGATACTCTCTTCGTATAAGGGATTTTTCGAATCTGCACCTGACTCATTATCCTCAGAGTTGTGATGATAGCTTCTAAACTTATGAGAAGTTTTAAGACATTTTAGGGAAGACGATAAAACTTAGGGCCTCGATCCTGAATGATGAAAAGAGTTAGACAAGCTATCAGAAGCTGATGGGCCCTTTAATGAGTTCATTTTTGGCATTCTTTGTGAAGATTTGAAGTTTTGTTGGAGCGTACTTTCAGGATGAGACCCCTGTCCCCCGTGTAAGTGGACTGTGCGAAATAACTTCCAGATAACACTGCCTTTATCTGATGTGGGACCAAACTTTTTTTCTTGATTGCTTCAACCTGGACCCATCATACTCTTCCAGTTGCTCAACCACATTGACAATATGTCTCCCGTTGAAGAAACTGGAGACCTGTTCTCCATCCTCCCAATAAAGATCCCTGGCACACCTTCATACCCAGAGACCGCCATTCACGAAGTTCGTATACGGAAAAATGCACCCAAGATACCTACCGCCAACGACTCACGAAGTGTATTCCTCAAGAACATTCCCGCAGACAGTACAGAACCTCACTTTCGCGCTGTCTTTACACAACTTGTAGGCGCTGGGCGTTTTGAGAGTATTACCTTCGAAGACGAATTACGGACGCTGCTACCTATTGATCCTGCGCAAGCCACAAAAGTTGCAGGGTTTGCGAAAAAGAGGAAACGCGGCGACGTTGAGGCGGAAGAGCGGGAGCGAGAAGAGGAAGCTGCGCAATTACCTCAGATCTGGTCGCGGCGCGTGCAACGGAGCAGCAGCACAGCAATTGTGCTTCTCGCAGACGAGAAGAGTGTGCAACTAGTCCTCAAGGCTATCGCAAAGCTACAAAAGACTAAAAAGTATCCTACGTGGGGTAGCGATCTCTCCGACGACGTCCCCTCGCTCGGCTCATCGTGGATCGCATCGCATCTGCAACTCTCGCGCGTCGACAAGCCAGCCACCCAAAAGGCTGTTCACGCCTTCTTCACTGCATTCAACCGCAAGGAGAAGGAAGCTGTTGAGCTAGCTAAGCGACTGCGCAATGAGCCAGACGAGGATGGTTTCGTTACAGTGACTCGCGGTGGACGGGCCGCTCCCGCCAGCCGAAACGAGGCTGAGGAAGCCAAGCGCAGAATGATCGAGAGGGATACCAAGAAGAAGTCTGAAACCAAGGATTTCTACCGCTTCCAGATGAGGGAACGACGCAAGGCGGAGCAAATGGCCTTGATGAAGAGATTCCAGGAGGATAAGAGAAAGGTGCAAGCGATGCGGGAGAAGAGGGGGAAATTCCGACCAGAGACATGAGATACTTGATAAAGCTCTATTTCATGTAAGTCATGATGCTCTTTTTGTTTGTCTTCATGATGACGTCGCGGGGCCATCGAACATGATGGGGTAGCGAGGCCTTTGGTCTCCCATCTTGGGTGCCGAAAACAACCGCGTTACAATCTTCTCAAATTTGTCTGAGACAAAGCCACTGTTCCATATTCTGTCAGACTCTATCCGTGAACCTCACTAACCAGCCAAGCCGTTTCTAGAGTATGCCAAGCTTGGTCTACACAAAGTTCAAAGACATCCATGTTGACGCACAACTTATACCCGAGTCATTATGGCTTCTCGTATTCTAACCATTACGACTCAACACATCCTGTCATCGCCGCTCGGATCAACACCCTTAAGTCTGATAAGGGTCCAGGAGATGTAAAATTTGCCATGGGCAATATTCGGGCCTTTGGTTTCTACCACGTTTTAACTCTGTCTCGCCTCGGCCAAGAAGCTATCAAGGCGGGGAGGACCTTGTCGGAAGGAGGGGATAGAAAAATAGAACCAGTGCGGCTTCAAAGCCTTGAACATGTTTCAGACTGAGACTTTGAGTTGACAGTGCATGTGCCAGCAGATGTCTGCTTCAACGTCAAGTTGTCCATGGAAACAATGCACAACACCATTCCTGTGACATTTGGCCACTTTCCGACCACATCTTCCCCTCATCCATACCTTGATCAGGCTGTATACTGTAAACATGCCCAATTTCGGCCCATCAACATTGTCTTCGAGGCTTTCTAGTTTAACAGGTGGAACTGTCGACCCAGACAACGACCCTCACCAGAAACTCCAAAACCCTCACTTTTGGCCCAAAAACAGAAAAACCTTGATCATCTGCATTGCCACCTGTCGAGCGCTGTCTTGTCAAAAGGATGACCCTGGCTGGTCTCTCGTTAAGGCCCGCCTCACTTTTGCAGGGATCTCATTGGCGGACGCATTGTTTACTTTGCTCCCCCACATAGCAACCAGCTCTCCCCACCAAAACAATTAAAGGGACCACAAGCTTGTACACTTATACAGGAGAGATAGTACTAGTACCTTTGCGCAGGAAATTGATGAGAAAAAGTCAATCTCTTCAAGATTCGAGGATATGTGTATCAACTTTGGACTCGCTCACCTGTCACAATGATCGATACCGATAATCTTCGTACAGCATCGCTGTATATCAACAATCAGCTTCTATCTAGAGGTTTACTTCGTGATGGCCAGAGTATCGATTTCGCCGGCGCGGCCTTCAATGGCGATGAAGCTGGAGCTACCATGGGACGGATCGTGAGCGTCCTAAACGATCTAATACTCCGACGAGATGTACGTTAGCCCTCATGTGTCTCGATACAACTAACAATCACAGCGTGATGCAGAACATCGCGAATCCCTCTCAACCACCATGCGCACCCTACGCGCCGATAACCTCAAACATACCAACGACATCGCGCGACTCGCAGAGAAACATACCGAGGCCAAGAGGAAGCTGGACATTGCAGAAGCTTCAGAGGCTGCTCTCAAAACGCAAATGAAGTCGGCAGACGCCGCCATACGCGGTTTAAAGGAAGAAGTCGCCCGTACAAAGGGACTGGTCGCCCAGGCACGAGCTGCGTGCGCAACAGACGTCCGTAGACGAGACCGCCAAATCGATACCTTGAAGAAACAGCTCGCCGAAGCTGGACGTGCGCGAGGATCCCGAGCAAACCCCGGCGTGACCTCAATCCTCGTCACAGGCGATGTTGGCGAGGAAAAGTCGACAGGTCGCGGAGGCATCACCGCAGCAGATGACTATGATCTGCGCAACGAAACAAATGCATTCTTGGCCAAACTGGCTCAAAATCTTAGTGAAGAAAACGAAGCTATTCTTTCCGTAATGCGCAAAACGATGCAGCAACTGCGGGACATGAGTGGGTGGAACAACGAGAACCAGGATAACCTTGTTATCCAGCAGCAAGGGTGGCAGGATATGGCTTCGGAGCTGGACTCTGTGCTGGAACACATGCGAACTATCCTAACGAACCCCTCATTCGTGCCAATCGAAGAGGTCATGGTTCGAGAAGAGGAAATCAGCCGCCTCAAGGATGGTTGGGTCAAGATGGAAAGCCGCTGGACTGAGGCAGTTCATCTGATCGATGGTTGGCGGAAGCGTATGGTTGCTAATGGACGGCCGATTTGCGACGAAGAGCTTCAGATGGGACTGCGCCTTAGCCCAGTAAGGGTACGAGATGTAGAGGAGACAAGGCACGCATCTACTCTCAGACTTTCTGCTGTTGCTGAGGAGCCCGAGGATGAGATGGACGTTATCGACTCGCCATGCCCTTCGCGCTGTTCCCCTCGCGTACAACTCGTCCCAGAGTCGGACCCTGAGGATGAAGTTGACCAGGAGAGTGACATCGAATCCGACTACGAAGAAAACATACCAATCGACGACTATGACGTTGAGGAGCCTAATGTGCAGATCCTTCAACAGTCCACAGCGGCTCCCCTCTACCACCCAGACCCAGACTCATCGCCACTACCAGAGCCTCCCCAGCTCAGCCCCTTGAAAGATTCTGCATCAGCCGGAAACCGAGGCTCTCAACCACGCAAACATGGCAAGGGAGATTTCACCACTATTGTGGAGGAAAAC